ATATATATATTACAAATAACATACATACCACCGGAAATGAAGATCTGTGTAAGCGGCAGTGCGAAGAATCTCAGCCACGAGTCTAGTCGAAGCCAATTGAAAGGTAAAAATATGAGAGTTGTATAGACTTGACGTCTGCAAAATATACAAATTTGCGAGCTAACTCGCGTAAGATGTCTTGTTCTTGATATGTGTTGACATTCAGTTGTTGGTTGAGTTCTATGTAGAGGGGGATAAATAATAAATATATTGGAATACGCGTAAATGCATATTATGTACTTTATTTTATTTACGTCCCTTTTGTTTTCGAGATATTGAAATATATAACCACAGCTTTTCCGTATCGCAACGATGGCTTTTACCGCCGCCCACATATTGTAGGCTATTATTTGTAGCATATGTATTTATTTATTTATTTTCGATGTTTCAAATATTGTTTCTATTTTATTTATTTTCTATAAAATAGTACAGTAAATAGGAGTGGTGAACAAAACAAATTGGCTTTAAAAGATGGGAGATTTTAACTATAAAGGTTGACCCAGAGGTACCTTTAAAAATCAATCTCATTCGTAGCCAGAGAGCTCAAATCCTTCGTATTGGCGAGTAAAAAACGTACGCTTAATCTCATCCCACTATTGGTGTAAAAGTTATGAAGTATTTCATCTCGAACCAGGACTGGGTCAATCTAGCCATACGTCAGCATTGTACAAGTCCATCCATACCTAAAGAAATACACGTCCAGACTCGCTATACGCGCACATATACCCCGCCATAGACCATTAAAGAGGCATGCTATATTGCCAGAAGGGTCTGTTAGGTATGGATGGACTTGTATAACGCTTACGTGTGGCTAGATTGACCCAGTTCTGGTACAAAATGAAATACTTAACAACTTTTGAACCAATAGTCCGATCGAGACGAGATTAAGCGTACGTTTATTACTTGTCAATATGAAGAATTTAAGTTGTCCATCTGTCAATGAGATTGATTTTTTAAGGTACCTCTGGGTCAACCTCTATGGTAATATTCTCCCATCTCCTAAAGCCATTTTTCTGGTTTACGGCTCCTATATTTTCATAGCCTTCTAGATTATACAATATTAATATTTACCGTCTAATTTTAGTAGGCTACGTTGTTTTTTTATAAGAAACAAATAGAAAACAAAATAGTACTCAGTTGTCAGTTGTCCTTGAAACTGAAGCCATTGCCATTTTTGATTAAAAACAAATAACCAATGCTCTCGAGAACTCGAGACTCGGAGTCTCGGTCTCTCGGACGGGTAAACTCGTAATAAACAACATTCAGGATTACGACAAAATCTAGTTTCGGTCTCATCATGCATGTACATACATATATTATTATGATACATATATTTTAGAGAGAGAGTATAAATATATGTGTATTTTGTTTTTAAAAAAATGTTTATATAATAGGTTATAAATAGACTGTAGTCAACTCATACTATAGTTGTTGTTTTTTTTCTAAATTAACAATTTTTATAAATAAAACAAACCCATAGGCAGATGGAGGTTCAGGCGGTGCAGCCGTTCAGGGGGCAGAGCCTTTAGAGCTTCGCCTTCCAAAAGTTCAGAGGGCTACATCAGTGTATCTTGCGTCGTCATTTGTCATCACCCAAATTAACCCACGAGACTCCGGAGGTTTTTATTATATGTAGTCTACTACACAGTACATATCCATCCAAACTTATTGAGCATAAATACATTATCATGGTGTTGGAAAGCACCTTCGATGCATGTTGGCCGAGCGAACTTGACCCGGCGGAAGAGATTTTTGGTAAGCGAATTGAAATATACAGACCCAGGAGAAGATTAAGCAAAGGAATAGCTTTTTAATCGCGACTACTAGTACACAATGATTGTATCAGTTTTAGGATAAATTTACAAGTACACTATGCATGCGTTGAAGCGCGCCATGTTTTAAAAGTACTTAAACAAATATACGAGTATATGACTTATTGTCAGATTACTTAAACCACAATCGTTGGATTTTATAATTTGTCAGGTGGTATGAGTATATATATATATATATAATGTAAATATATATATCTATATCTTTATTCAAATCCATGTATATATATATATTTATATATATATATATTTATATATATATATTGTTACATATGCTTATACACAAACACTTACAAGCATTTAATATATATATATACATATGTATCTATATCTATATATATATCGTATATATATATATATGTGTGTGTGTGTATGTATATGTATATAAATATACTTACCTGTTGATATAAATATATATATGTATGTATATTATTTTCAAAAAGATTCATGTACATTTATATATACGCACATACATATTTATTTAGAAATTTATTTATATATGTGTATATATATAAATATGTATATATGTTTATGTACTTTCATGTATATATGTGTGTGTGTTATGTGTCTATATATATGTGTGTGTGTTTGTTGGTGTGTAAGTGTTCGTGTTCATTTTTATATATATATATATTTATATGTATGTATATATATTGAAATGTATGTGTGTGTTTGTTGAAATGTATGTATTCATTGACAATATAAATACACGCACTCTATATATATGTATGTATACGTATACATATGCACATGTATCTATTTCTGTTTGTATAGACATGAATGTATAGGTGTGTTCTTATCTATATGCTTGAGGCCAGCGAGGAATACGTATTTTATATTGCGGACGCATTGTCGTATGCTTGTATTCTTTTCGGGTTAATGTCATGTTTATTTCGCACTCGATGGTTGGGGGACATTCCCAAAATATCGATAACCCCCGGCTTGTCAAATTGGCATATGATCTTACAATTATTGCACTGCTGATGTTCTCTCGAAACACTGATTGTTGCCTTCTGCAGACCTCATTAGAGACATTAAGGACCCTGAACATCCGTTTACCCTTGAGCAACTAAATGTAGTCAGTCTGGACCAGATCGAGGTATTAGACGAGATTCGAGGTCGGAGGAGAATCACCATAGAGTTCACCCCTACCGTTCCCAGTTGTTCTTTGGCGACCTTAATAGGTATTAGGTTCGATGTCACATATTGCTTTCGAAACATTACCATAGTGCTCATTTAGCATCCCGTCTTTCCAATATTATATATCTGTATATATTATATATTGAAAATAGTGTTTATGATGACAACGTCTGTATGTTCTGGAACTGCACTCGTGTAGCGATGATAGTAAAGATATTCTATTGATTGTCATTCTGTTTTATGTCGCTGCTGCTATTGCGATTTTTAGAATGTGTTGCTCGATTCAATGTCTACTATCAACGAATGAATCACCCTTCCCGGGGCAGGTGCAACTGTGAATGCTGATGCGAGTTTGTATAGATTAATTGGTCCCCAATAACACTTGCAGTCTCAGATAGACTCGCTCCAGTGTCCACTGTGTGTGTTGTCTCTATGCTGAATTTTTTTTGGGGGGATGTTCGCTCGGTCAGCGCGACCGGTGGGGGGACGGTGGGAATATCTTGCCCTTAAATATACATTTTAACCATTGTACCTACTTCCGTATTCCTATTATGTCAAGTGTTTTTTGTTGCGGATGCTCACAATAGATCGAACGTCATATATTTACATGTGTTGCTCGAAAGCTGGGCGATGTCCTGTTACTCTACATGCACTCACATTGTGATATTTGTTTGTTGCACTTCATCCAGGATTGTGTATAAGAGTGCAGGTGGAACGGTCGTTTGAAAATAGGAACATTCTGGATATCACTGTGCCCCTGGGATCGCATGATACTGCAGAGGAAGGTAATGTATGCTCGACTCAACTCATTGTTCGCGCAGTCTGGCCCCGAATACCATGCACATTGGACACCTCATGATCGTGGCAGCCATACTTGTTTATCTGCTGCGTTTTTATATGTCAAGTCAACCACACCAGGTTTTGTGCTGCTTTCACATCACCCAGCGTCAGGAGTTATAGGGTGCTGCACTCAAGTTCTAAAGTACACATGCACTGTGTGCTTATATCATCGCAATCTCTCGATGGTGTATGTGTTCTGTGAGAAGTTCATACGTAGTAACGCCTATGTCAGTTCTAATACAAAAACTCCCTCCTCATAAACACGCTCTACGAGTGTTATTTCACACACTCATCAATACCGGACGTCTATCTTATTTAATTACATACATGTAAATGTCAAATCGTGTGCACAATTTTGTCATTCACGGGTATACAGACGAGTCGAAAACAAAATCAAAGACACATTTAGATACGAATGGCCACATCAAAGCAATTTAACCTACAACTTCACTCGACTCTGCTCGTATTCCCGTGCACACTTTTGCATTTAAATACACTATACACGGACATACATGTATGTATATATATGCATATGCGATATGAATGTATGTCCGTACTCAGACACATCTACATATGCAGAACCAACTACACACACAAACAACACTCCACCCGTATCCTTAGTAGTATATTGATATACACCCATTAGCTTGTTCACATGTACAGTCTACGCAGCTCTACACATTATTATGCAGAAAGACACGTTGTCTGTATGTACTGATCCCTATTATTTTCATGGTATACAGTGAACAAGCAGATCAACGATAAGGAACGAACAGTTGCCGCCATGGAAAATCCGGATTTAGTAGCCGTTGTGGAGAGGTGTCTTAACCCCGAGCACGACGACGTCTCGGTGTAGCCCAAAGTTAAACACAATTTGCATATCATGCAATCGTCAGCACCTGTGATTTAGTGCTAATCGCTTATGGCATGCAAGGTTGATGACTCACTGGAGAGAGACCTAGGACGCGCGAATTCAGACCTGACAACTCGCATGCGTATGTATGTAGTACGTATATACTTAAATATATATATATATGTATGTGTATGTATGCATATATATATATGCATGTATGTGTATGTATGCATATATATATATATATGCATGTATGTGTATGTATGCATATATATATATATATATATGCATGTATGTGTATGTATGCATATATATATATATATATATATATGCATGCATACATAGCTATATATATATATATATATATATGCACATACGCAACTAAGTGCTTATATATGTGCATTGCGACTGGCCTGTGAGTCAACGCGTCCAAATGCAGACATAACACTTTCCAGGTACCGGTCGCCGCACACTTTTGAACACCTAGACCTGACATCTATCTGCCTTTAGCTCTGCTTGTATGAAATCAGAAGATGTATTTGCCCTAAGCGACGCAGCTACGCTGGGTGTGTGCCGAGGGGAAGCGGAGCGTGCTACTTGTGCCGTGGGGGGATATGTGGGGGAGAGAATATCGTAATGTCAGCGTGAAGCAGTAGTTTCATCGTTGGCGGTCATATACCCGTCAGACACATACATGTGCACCAGTGACCGCACAAACATCGAGCTTATAGCGCGAGCAGCCACAATATACGTGATGGGCACAGATTAGTCAGTTTGCTGCCTATTCAGCGTTGTTCTCAGACAAGGTCCCTGGGGTGATGATTGGGGTTGCGGTGTATATACATACATACATACGGATTTAAATTTCTATGTACACTTTAACTCGACTGATGTAAATGTGATTGAATTTCGGTGCGGGTGAAGTTCTGCCACAGAAACAGTAACCGCACGGAGCTGTGGTCAACCAATACAGTTGCATTCTTGAACTGACACACAAAACAACCTGGATAAGCCAAACCAAGCATTGGCGAATCATACCATTACCGACAGACTGAAAATCTGAACTCATTCACATCACCACAACAACCTCAACACCAGCCACATAGCGAGTGAACGATGCAGCCGTAGTATTGGACCCCTCACCGACCTGGCACAATGATTTTTTTTTAGCCACCACTGAGATGGTGCTATGTGTAATTCTATTTGTAGCTCGACCTGCGAGCTATGTAACGACCTGGCCCACTCTAGTCTGCAAGGCGCAGCGCGAGTGGTAGTTTTGCGATTAGGGCTCCTAATGAGCTCTATGTGTACCCATTGTACCGAACTTACCATCTTACGATTGGTAATCTCGACCGTGTGGGATACGAAATAAATTGTTTTATAAATAATAAGAATAGGTTCTTGGAATATAATTAAGCGTAGAGGCGAACTACCTTAAAATAGGAACAACTATGAAAGATATACATTCTACGTACGTAACTTCAACTAAAAGCTCGCGATTGTTTTAAGCCCTGTGTCCTGGATGCATCTTGTTGTTGATGCAATTTCACAGACGAAGACTGTTGGCAATCGATCTTGCGTATATATAGCCTACTTCCTCTACTTTTGGTACTATACCGGGGACGAGAGACGTTTTGCCATTCGGTTGCCACCTCCGAACTGAATACTTAATGAATCCATACTAAGAAATGGCACAATTACATTCGTTGCCGGCTCCATACTACCCTGGAAGCAATACATCACATATCGTTTTTCGCTTCAGCACACTGAAGCGGTGACCATACTCGTAGTTCATTTTATTAATTAAGCGTATTTATCTTTGGTATATAATATGTTTATATTGACAATATTTATATCTTCTGTTAATGTATTATATATCGTTGGCATATTTTATATTTATATTGACAATATTTATAAATCTTCTGCTAAAATGCTATTTATCGTTAATATGTTATATTCATGTTGATCCATACGTCTTCTGCTAAAATACAATTATCGTTGGGATATTTCAAATTTATACTGACAATGTGCTTAAATACTGTAAATCTCTGGTATATGTTACATTATACTGACGATATGAAAGGGTCTTCTGCTAAAATACTATATATCGTTGGTATATGATATATTTATATTGTCAATTTTATCACGTTTTCTGCTAAAATACTGCAGATGGTTGGTATGTTATTTTTATATTGACGATGTTTAATAGTCCGCTATCATATGTTATTTTTATTTTATATTTACTTTCTGCTGAAATACCATTAATCGCTTGTATATGAAATATTGAATTGACAATAATAATAGACTAAATGTCGTTAGTTTATGTCATGATTATATTATCAATATTGTAATATGTCTTCTGCTATAACACTATCCTTGGTATAAGTGATATTCCTTTTCACAACAATAAGTATTCTACTTATTTTTCCATAATACAATATATCGTCAGTATATGTTATTATCTATATTAGATGAATTATTAGATGAATAATAAGTTGTTTCCATGGCCTTTTGAGGTTGGATACGAGTACAAAGAGCTGAGGTAACGCCATCCCGGACAGACGACACATGAATCTGCAGCGGAAGACATGGCCCTTGATACTGTCAAACGATAATCCGCGTTTATCCAGCCACTCAACAAAGTTTGTCTATGCATAAATATATTGCGGTAGAACACCCGTCATTCTTCATGTGGATGGTGGGTGGTGTTCGTAAATAGCAAAGTCAATGAATTGACATTGAGCTGAACTTGCTGCGACCATGGTCGCCAGTTTCCAAAAGAATCTAAAAGTTTCCTTTATCCGCAGTGCTAGTTGTATGCCAATAATTGCCGTTGCAAGGCATTCTGGGTGGTATGCATATAAGCAATAGAGCAGAATTGATATTAGACCTGAATAGGTAAAATGTGTTGAAGATTGGTCAGTATGTGCACACACATCAAATGTGGTCATTCAAATTAATTGCTGCGTAAACATTGAGCACTCGATAGCATAACGTACATGAACTAACGTGATTGGACTGGAATCCTTTTTGCAACCCGTCTCGTTACAGTTCCGAATGTTTGAAACCTCTGACACGTGTCTAGATTCTGCTAGGGTTTTTAGAACCAGTATATCAAGCAGCTTCGAATCAGATACTGAATGGTTTGAGCAGAGTCGAGTCTTCGTCGAGAGATATCGAGCTCTCGTCGGGCTTGTCAGAACCACCTAATAGGATATCAAGCAGCTTCGAATCAGACAAGCCCGACGAGAGCTCGATATCTCGCGACGAAGGCTCGACTCTGCTCGACCCATTCAGTATCTGATTCGAAGCTGCTTCATATACTATTAAGTGGATCTGGAATTCCTAGTAGAATCTAGACACGGGTCACAGGTTCCGAAGATTCGAAACCATGACTCGAACTTGGGTTCTACAAAGGGTCCCATAAATCACATTAAACTCATTCGTGTGGAGAGTTCTTGATGGCCATATGGAAGTTGTACCTCGAAGGAGTCTATTTGTACGGACTACAAGATATCCTTCAAGGTTCCAGGCGACAGCAATCCTGAATAAGTTGCCCCTTTACACGAAAGCTGTCAAGGCTGTTAGATCGCATAAGGACTTCATCACACATGAATCCAAAGTTTCCGTCACTCTCAACACTCGGGATCTAGTATACAGGTTCAACCTACTTCACGAGAAGTTTCAAGAGACTGCGGACGTTACATGTCTTCGTGCTAGTGTGGGAATGCATCTGCCGGCAAGTCTGCCTACACGCAGCGGAGATTGACAGAACCACCATTAACGCCGTTGTATACAGCGAGGTATAAGCGAGGTAGAAGGAAAGGCACCCTTTGTACAACTCGGACCAAAGAGTTGGAGTGTTGTTGCGTGGAGGGTAAACGTCGTTTAGATTGTAGATATTGCATCATGGTGGAGTATCAGGAAATGGTTCCAAAGACGATAGCGATGTACTTAAAGTAATGAGGGCCACAAAGATTAGATGCGATGGTTTTAAGGCGAGCAACTGAGGCTACAACCAGGTTAGTGCCAATCAGAAATGGATTGAAGATCAGCTTCCTCTAGATCACTACGTCGCAGGCATTCCGGGAAATTTGGCTCGGAGCTCTCTAATCACGAGTCTGGTTACAGGTACGGAACTCGGCGACGTCCAGACATCAATATTTACCGGACATAAGAACCCCGCAACTCTGAATACTAATAGATACATAGTTCCTT